AGGCTCCGTGGCGGTCCCGGCTCACGCAGGAAATAGACGGCCCCAGTTCGGTCCCTGCGTCCTGGCTGCTCCAGAGCCCAGGCCCAGCGCGACCCCAGCAGCTGTGGGGGGGCGTAATGGTCTGTACCCCTGAGCCAGGCTGATACCGGCCCCCAGATCCCTCCCCAGCCCCATAACATTAACTCAGACGGGTCCGTTCCTGCCTGAGCTGCAAACTCCTCCCCCTCCCCCACTACTGCTGCAGCGACGCATTGGGGGTGGGGGGCAGGATAGTGCATTGAGTGGGGGCCCCCCCAGCCCCTGTGTGACTCTGGCTGTGCCTTTCCTGGCAGCAAACACAAGACCCTGGCTCTGATCAAGGACGGCCGGGTGATCGGGGGCATCTGCTTCCGGATGTTCCCCACCCAGGGCTTCACGGAGATCGTCTTCTGCGCCGTCACCTCCAACGAGCAAGTGAAGGTGAAGGCAAAACTGCAGCTCGCCGGGGGGGGGGGCAATGAGAGAGAACAGCGGGGAGCTGCAGGTCGGGATTAGGGAGCCTAGGGATGGGATAGCAGAGGCTGCGGGTTGGGATTGTGGGGTGCTGGCAGAGAGGTTTGGGGGGGGAGCCCAGGCCTAGATAGCAGGGGGAGGTTACAGGCCATGGCTCTGAGGCTGCGCTAGCTGCGAGGGAGGCAGGAGTTGATGCTTTACCCCAGGGCCGGGCCGGGGACCGTGTTTAACGCTGGCGGTTCCTGCGGCCGAGCAATCGCTGTGCTGGGGTCTGTTCCCCAAACATGTCCTGGGGCATCTCCCCACAACCCCTCCCTGGGAGCCTGAGCCCTGCCTGCCCCGGGGTGTCTGCCTGACAGGCGTCTGTCTGTCTGTCTGCCTCCCAGGGGTACGGGACGCACCTGATGAACCACCTGAAGGAGTATCACATCAAGCACAACATCCTCTACTTCCTGACCTACGCCGACGAGTACGCCATCGGCTACTTCAAGAAGCAGGTCAGTCTCCCGGCGCCGCCGGCCCCCGCCCACCTGGGGGAGAGTCCTAATGCCTCCCCCCCCCCCCCCGGCGGGCTGCGGTTTTGCCTTCCCCTTCCCTTGCTCGTTGGGGGGGCCGGCGCAGAAGACGAACCCCCTGCAGCC